AGGTGTTCAAATACTTATGTTCAGCAGTGCAAGACAAATAAATTCTTTAAAAATCATAAAATGTGATTTCCTGATTTTTTTTTTAAATTCTGTCTCTCAGAGTGGGAATGCACCTACAATGTGAATTTCAGACCCCTCCATGATTTCTAAGTGGGAGAACTTGCAAAATCGCAGGGTGTTCAAATACTTCTGTTCCTCACTGTATATTTTGGACGGGAAAGCACTACGCTTTTTGTATTCTTCATTGATTTTACCATACTTAGAGTATGGCATTGAAAAATGGGGAAACACATACAAAAGCTCACTTCAACCATTGTTGAACTGACTACCGGCCAGTTGCACTCACTCCAGTGGTGGTGAAGTGAGAAACCCGTATGGGGACACATTATGCCATTCCTCCCACCAACATCTGACCCACACCAGTTTGCATACATAGCAAATAGATCCACAGGGGACGCCATAGCGTATGCACAGCTGATCTTTCTGGATTATAGCTCTGCATTCAACACCATCCTCCCCCACAAACTGGCAGACAAGCTGTTGGACCTGGGAATTCCATATTCCACCTGCATATAGATTAGGAGCTTCCTGTCCGGACGCAGCCAGACAGTGAGAGTGGGCCCACACACATCCTTGGCTCTCAGCCTCAGCACTGGTTCACCACAAGGCTGTGTGCTGAGCACCCTGCTCTACACCCTGTACACCACAGCAACACCATTGTAAAAGTTGCTGATGACACTACGGTGGTGGGGTTTATCTCTAGGGGGTATGAGACTACGTACAGGGATAAGGTGGAGAGGCTGATAGTGTGGTGCAGAGAGAACAATCTGCTCCTTAATACCTCAAAGACTAAGGAGGTCATTGTCGACTTCAGGAGGAAAAAACCAACATCTTGCCACTGTATATCAACAGGGACCGTGTGTAGAGGGTGCTGGCCTTCTGCTTTCTGGGAGGATCTGACCTGGGGCGTAAATACCTCTGGACTGCTTAAAAAGGCCCAGCAGAGACTGTACTTCCTACGGGTGTTCAGGAAGAACAACATCTCCCAGAGACTGCTGGTGTCGTTCTATCGGTGCTCCATTGAGAGCATCTTTACATACTGTATATGTGTATGGTACAGCAGCAGCACATTGGCTCAGAGGAAAACACTCCAGAGGATCATTAATACGGCCCAGGAGATCATCGGCTGCCCTCTCCTCACTCTGGAAGAACTACACAGTTCCTGCTGCCTCAGAAAAGCCCAGAACATTATTAAGGACACTTCACACCCAGAATGTTCACTCTTTGAACTGCTGCCATCAGGTAGACGGTTCAGAGCAATCAAATCAAGGACCATTAGATTCAGGAATAGTTTTTACTCAACAGCAGTTACCACACTCAATGCTGCTGAAATATAATATGCCTCTGAGAGGGCTGTTGTTTATTTCATTTTTTTAGAGGTAATACTTTTTATATGGTCTTATTTCATGTGTTATGTTTTTTCTATTGCTGCACCGATTGGAGGTCACTCTAAAATAACGTGTTACAATGATGCTAAAGGATTATCTTATCTTATCTTATTTATACTATTAGTTACCTGTTAGTGTAGATACTGTGCTTGACACCTTCCTATAGATTTTATAGGACACCTAGAATAGCCTCATAAATGACATTTTTCCGCTGGACAGATCAACAGAGCATATTAGCTCAACTTTCAAAGTAGTATCATATCTTTCAGTTTGGTATCACAACAAAAACCTGTTTGCGCACACACACTGTGGGAGCTCAGCCTTCCTCATGGGAGTCAGATGTTTGTCTCCACCAAGTAAAAAGTGAAAAAGTGAATTCTAGACAACTTGATTTAGAGTTAGGCAAGTAGTGGTTATGGTTAAGGTTTAGGTAAGTCTCCAGGAAATGAATGTGAGCCAATATAAAGTCCCCACAAGGAACAAAAGTGGATGAATGTGTGCTAGTCTGACCACAATTTAAGCTCCAGATGTGTGCAGTTAACTGATCTGTCTGTGGAGCACAGGGACTATCCAGTCATCTATGCAATACAAACAAATCCTATTACACTGAGATTAATTTCCTTTGGTCAACTAGAAGTCAAGTTTTCTTCCAAGATGAGTTAGTATTAGGGTCAATTTGTTGAGATATTGAACTGGAAAATGCATTACTGGCATTAACTGAAGTTCATAAACTGCCTGGTTTATTAAGTAGCTCTTTTTAACCAAACCCTGGTTTGTATTTATTACTGTTAATGAAGGATCAATATTTACATATTTTTCATTAAATTAATCTTTAGGTCTGACTAAAGGGGACTAAATCAGAAGAGCAGGTGTAGACTCGGCGGCCTGCAGCCAAAGGACTGTTGATATTAATTTAAAGATTGTTTTGGTAATGTCTGCACCTTACTGTATTCAATTATGGTTTGTGTAAATGATTCTTTAACACACTTTTTATGACAGCTGAGCTGCCACAACCTTTCATTTCATCCCTGTTTATGAGTAGATCTCAAATGAAATTTTCAGGCAATGATCCAAAAATGTATTTTAACTCTTTACAAAGTTTATAGTTGTATAGAGCTGGTGTAGTTTCCTTTAAGGCTCAGTTATTATAATGGCTCCATTACCACTGCATACACAATTCCCTCTTAAACTTTAAGCAGTGGGAATCTATTTTCTCACCAGTACTACTTGTTTAAAACAAAGATTACCCCTAAAAAGGGAGGTCTTTAGTAATATTGTGATAAATAAATTGGCTATATACTGTGTCCACATTGAGAGGAACACTCTGCTGATCAGAAAGAGCCATCTAGTGGACAAAAATGTCTGTAAGGTTTGGTGCATGTTCCTGTGAACCAGTTCGTATCAGTTGCAGTCATTATTTGCTTTTGAATCAGTGCTATGGCATGTTTTTAATAAAAATTGGATGGAGGTCAAATGGTGTCCATTTAAGTCTATCCACACATGTGAACTGTCTGTAGTCATGTGTTTCCTTCGAATGGCCAGCGTAGGTACCTCTCATCTCAGATCAGACAGAAATGTGTATGTATTCACTGACAGCATATGAGAAACATACAAGACTTCAGAATGTAAACAGTCTTGTAGAAGCATTATGAACACTGATATTATTTGTCCACAACAGTTATACTTCATCACTGGTCAACAGATGCCCATCCCTGAATAAAGTTTTTTTTTCTTCTTTTTGATGTGGCAGCAAAATCAAGAGTACATACAAACATTGTAACATTCTTTTTTAAAATATATTTTTATTTAAAAAATTATGTTTCTTGTACTGCACAATCCAGTACCCTAAAGCAGGTATGATCAAATCAAACCTTAAGTCATTCTTTTCACAACCACAGGAGGTCAAAGTTTAATAAAATTAAACTCATTAAAAATGGCAATACTGAAGCAAAGTAAAACCAGCTTACAATTTTGTACCGTGTGTATTATGTGAAAAAATAAATATATATATGTATATATATATACACAATATATACACAACTTGCTTGCATGTACAGTATACTCACACACATATACAGACACTTGAGTGTCCATAATAATAATTATAGCTTTAAATCTGAAATGAATAACTTGCTTCCCAGAAGCATTTAAGAGCTTGAATGTCCTAGACATTGTAGATTACAGCAACAATAATATAATAAAATTATCAAAGTTAATTGTTATTATAATAACAGGTTTGGCAACATCAAGGTAAAGAAAATTATAATGCTAAGGACACTGGCAGGAATATTAATTTCCCATGGACTAATTATGCTTAGCACCTAGAATGTGCCCTCTTTTGTCACTGTGCAAGTACAGAGGAGCTCAAAATTATTTTAAGAATAATTGTACTATGGAACAGACTGAGTAAACTGTGCTTTAGCTCTGGGGTCTTGTCTATGCTCTGTGTCTGCTATTTAGTAGTGACTCAAAGGCTCAGTCTTGATCTCAAGGCTAAGCAGACACACCTGGCAAAGGGTTTCAGATTTTTGTCTCTGGACCATCTGCGATTATTGGCTGAAAGGAGTCACGGATCCGGGCAGCTTCTGCAGCACAAAGGTGACCAAAGGCTTTGTTGTACCAGTCTGGAGTCCTTCCTCTGAAATCAAGACAGCAGATTCAGTATATGATAGAATACAGTACATGCACATACAACAAGCTTCATACAACTTCCTTAAAATGTATTTGCTGAAAGAGCTCACGAGAAAGTCTTGCCACAAGATTCATGTAGGACTTACTTTAAGTCCACTCTGCAGATGTGAGTTAGTCTGGACTTTCCAGAGCCGCAGGGCTCTAGCAAATAGTTGGACTCCAGGACAATAGCTCGCACCCCTCCTATAGGAAGACAGTCCTCATGCTCTATAGACACAGAAATTAGGGAGCATGCACCTTTGGGCAAGTCTGTCCTCCATGACCTTGAATACACAGAAAGAGATTAAGTTTGCACCATCAAGAAAAAAACAGGACTACTACTGTTTTCTTTTTATCACCACTCACCTGAGTACTACAAAGTCCCTGCTGGGATGAGGGGGCATGCTATTGAGGACAAACTGAAACACCTCAGCCTGCATGTCCAGTGTCTCACACACTTTCCACTGCAGCAAGTCCACATCCCACAGGTGGCGCTCTCGCAGCACCCGGTTCAACACCACAGATGGTGGTGCTTCCACCTCTACAGACACTCTCCAGCGTCTCAAAGGGTTCCCATCTCCCACCTGGATGAGGTATTGCATTTTATTATTACTGATTTGCCATTGTAACTTTCTTAATTTGGAGTTGATACGTGACCCTGGGACTATTTTGCTGTACTGTTATAAATGAAACAATAACACATTAACCCCGCAATAAAAGAAAGAATGCCAACCTTCTTATAGGAGACCTCTGTGTTATCAGAACTGCTACACGACACCCAGTGTTTGGACTTTTCCCGGCCCTCTTTCAGCAGGTTCTGAAGTCTCCCCTCCATATGCGTTTGATATGTTCCATCATCATCTTCCAGCTGCTTGCACAGCTCATCAATTGTTGGCGCATGCAAGTCAGCCTCCACATATGAATTGCGCGACTGAGTAATCATCTCATGAGGGATCTAATGGGTACATAAAAGCATGAGGTAAGATTCACAGCAAATATAACCAGAGGGAGGCCTGTGGATATTGCATTCAGGTTTGAAATTCTTGCACCTTCTCAACTACAGACTCTTGTACCTCAAAGAGACGGTTGCACTCTATGATCATACGAGCGAGGGCCTGTGTTGCTGCTAAGTTTTCATTCAGATCCTTCTGGTCTGGTCTGCCAATGGCATACTTCTTCTGCATGGCCCTGGGGAAAACGAAATCATATTAGGCCAGCAGAGTCCCCAGGTCAACATCCTCAAGAAACACAGTATGTAAACCCTTCCTCCACTCTACAGGAAACCCCTTTGATCCCTTTAGCAACAGTTTCAACACTATAAATTAGAGCGCTTTGCTTTGTTTGTTTGTAGCATGATCTCATAAAAACACTGAGCGTTAAAAACAGTCCCATAAAAGACAGTAATCTACTGCACTACTGAGGGCTGAGCAGACTCTGGAACCCATTTCATATCTATCTTTATGGAATCATAAGTGAAGATTATCATGAAGAAGTCAATTAAATGCATTCTAGTGGTTTTGAGACACAGGGTGGCGGGTAGTGTGGCTGACCCAAAACAACAGGCACCAAACTAACACCAGAAGGCATAGATAAAAATGCACCTTGGTGAGAGATTGTCTTTCTTCAGTATGTTGAGATGGAAGAGAGAGGGAGCCAGACACACAGCAATGTTCATGGGTGTCATTTGGTTCTCCTCCACAGAGGAAGTGACATCACTAAGAAAACAGAGCAGCGTCTGCAGCACCTCTCGGTTTTCATCTGACATCAACATGATGGCTGCCTGGACTGCTTGCAACCTTTGGTCCTTTGGCACATCTGCACATATGAGACAATAGAGTTTTTTTTTTGTAATAATTTCTGCTTTAAAGACAAAGCTAAAAGAGGATTTTATGGGGCAAAACTGGGAATCAGTTTACAGAGAGGAAGACTTAGATAAAACATATGAGCAATTTTTAAATATATTTAAGAAGGTATATGACAGGAACTGTCCTCGTAAGCAGTATAAAAACAAAAGGAATTACAGTGGGAAACCATGGATGAGTAAGGGATTACAGAATGCATGTAAAAAGAAGAATGCGTTATATAAGGAATTCATAAAGGACAGATCAAAGTATTAGAGGATATTAAAAATAATATGAGAGGTATTTGGAATATATTAAATAAATTGATTAGAAACAGTTCCAGCAAGAGTAACTACCCTCAATATTTTATGGACAATGATACACCGGTTAATAGATTGGAGGATGTAGTAGATAAGTTTAATAGGTTCTTTGTAAATGTTGGTCCTGGTTTAGCAAGAAGCATTTGTACAGATGATACATCCGTCACTATAAATAATAATACAATCGAAAGGAACATGAGTTCTATGTTTTTGAAGCCCATAGTTGAAAAGGAAATTATAGAGATAGTGAATAAATGTGGTAACAAAACATCTAGTGATAGTGATGGTATCACTATGACAACTGTTAAATGGGTAATTGAGGGGATATGCAAACCACTAACCCATATTTTTAACATGTCGTTTCAACTTGGGCAGTTCCCCAATAATATGAAAATAGCAAAGGTGATTCCACTGTATAAATCTGGTGATAAGCACAACCTCACAAATTATAGACCGGTTTCTCTGCTGTCACAATTTTCAAAAAT